ACTTTTGGTAATGGTTTTGAGGAGTTGGTCCATTTTAAGTAAGTTGTCCAACTTATGAGCACAAAGTTTGTACTGTCCCCTTACCGCCCCTCAATGGCTGCTGCTCCGTCTCATTCCTGATATTGACAATGCATGTCTTTTCTTTGTCTTTGTCAGTCTTTTGAGAAGTTTATTGACTTTTTCTGTAAGCAACTTTTTGAGTCATTGATTTTTCTCTGTTGTTTTCCTTGTTATTGACTCCAGCTCTTTTTTATTTCCTTCCTTCTGCTTGCCTTGGGATTATTTTGCTCTTCTTTTTCAAGTTTCTTGAGAGAGGAAATCAGGTTATGACTTGAGATCTTTCTTTCCTTCTCATGTAAATACAATAAATTTCCCTGTCAGCATTAATTTTGCTATGTCCCATATATTGATATGTTATACTTTTATTTTCATTAAGTTCTATGTACCTTTTAAATTTCTCTTAAGACTTCCTCTTTGACCCACAAATTATTTAGAATGGTTCTTTAGTTTGTAAGTGTTTGGATATTTTCCTGTTAATTGACTTGTAGTTTGATTCTCTTATGGTCAGAGAATATATTCTGTGATTTCAGTCCTTTAAATTTGTTGAGGTTTATTTTATGGCTCAAGGCATGGACTTTCTTGGTAGATGTTCAATGGGCACTTGAAAAATAATTTATTCTGCTGTTTTTGGGTGAAGCGTTCTGTATGTGTCAGTTAGACCCTGCTGGCTGAGTGCACTATTTATGGATTCTGTATCCTTGCTGATTTTCTGTCCAGTAATTCTGCCCATTACTGAGAGTAGGGTATTAATGTCTCAAAGTGTTAATGTGGCTTGGCTTTGTCAAGTTCTCATTTCATTTTATCAGTTTTTCTTTATTATATTTGAAACCCTGTTGTTTGGTATATACGCATTTTGAATTGTTATGTCTTCCTGGTGGATTGGTCCTTTAATCATTATGTCAAGTCCCTCCTAGACTCTATTTATTCTTTGTTCCAAAGTCTACTTACCTGATAGTAACATGCCACTGTATTGGGCTTTTTTTAAATTAATGTTTGCACAGTATATCTTTTTTTAGCCTTTACTTCCAACCTCACTATGTCTTTGTATTTGAAGTAAGTTTCTTACGGACAGCATATCATTGGGTCTCTTGTTGATCTACTCTGCCAGTCCTTGTGTCTGCTCAGTGCATCGGTATCTCTATCAGCTAGGAATGCCTGGGGTACTCACCTGGGCCTGTCCTACCAGAGGCAGCGCTCAAGACATTTCCCGGACCAGAACCGATGTCGTGGCTGGATGACCTCATTTTCTGGGAGGGAGGGAATGGATAGAGGGCCCGTGTGACAGAATTACCTCCTTGGTGCTAAACAGAAAATCCCTGATTGATTTAAAAGGTCACATTCCTGGAATAGGTCAAAACTAATTAAGTCTTAGATTGGGAAGCAAGTGACTCCATTTGGGCATCTTGTTTCCTTTTTATTTTTTTTTAAACACTCTGTGGGAGGCGACCCCCTTTTCGGGAGAACCGGAAGCCCATGCTCGTCTTCTGTCGGCCTTAGTTAGTAGTTGTTTGGAGTTGCTACATATAGTCATGTCTTCCACAAAAATGACATTTTCATCCCTTTCTGTCTTGTAGCTATACTTTTAATTTGTTTCAGTCTTACTGCCAAGCAAAAAAGTTGAGTCTGTTCATTCTTTTTCAACATCAATAATGACTATGTATCCTTTCGCTTTGCCTATATGAAATGAGAGATTTACTTCTATTTTACTTTTTTCCTTCCCTGCCTCTAAGATTTTATGATACAGTCTGGGTGTTTTAAATCTCCATTTCTATCTTACTACCCATAATTTTCTTTTTTTTAAAATTTTATCTGTCTTTACTACCTATGACTTCTTGACCTCTCCCTCACTGCATCTACTCTAGCCATAGAGACATTTTTTGCTTGTCCATCAAAAAAAGAGAGAGAGACTTTTTTCCCTGGGAGAAGCTTGTCTCAGGCCTTTGCACCTTAAAATGCCTTGATTCAGATGTCACATTCTCATTAAGACCTTCCCCGACCAACCCACTGAAGCTGTGATCCATACCCCATGGAGTCCCCCTATTCTCTTCCCCACTCAGTTTGCTTTTCGTGGCACTATTGTTACCAGGAAATCCAGTCCAGTAGGTCTCCCTGCAGGCTAGGTGAGACCTCAGCCTGGGAAAGGGTTCTTGCCTGACTGAGAAGGAATTCACGAGCAGGTCAAGCAGATGCAAGCAGAGAGAAGTACACACCCAAGGAGGGAACGTGGGCATGCTCAAGAGGTGAGCAGCCGTTTTATAAAGTGAAAATGAGTACACACACTCGAGGAGGCAGTGCGGGCATGCTCAAGAGGTGAGCGGCACAGTGAGGTTGGGGTTGGGTGGTCTTAGAGCTGGAGTTAAGCAAGGGGTGGAATATTCATAAGGATGGGTGGGGTTTTCCTGGAATAGAGAGGGGATTTCAGGGAAAAGGAGGTATGACCTCTTTTTGTCCTGATATGGTCAGGCGCTGACCTGTCGTGCCAAGGGGTGTCTTTTTCGGTATGCTAATGAGCATAAAATGATCTTTGGGGTAGCTGTAGGTTACCTAATCTGCTTGGTTTGAACTGATTAGAAATTGCATTCTGTGTTGCCATCAGTTATTTTTCCTTCTAGCTAGTTTGTTTTCACTTCACAAGTTCTGCCCACTGGCCACACAAACTGGCCTCAAGCTTTATTTGAGTTGCCCAAGGCCTGGCTGTTTTCCTGAACTTCACTGCCTGTTTCACTGTGATTACCTAATACACTGTGTTATCATTTAACTGGTTTATTGTCTTACTCCTATTTATTAGAATGTAAGTTCCATGAAGGCAGGAATCTTTCTCTGTTTTTTCACTGTTTTATTTCCAGTGCCCAGAACAGAGCCTGGCATATACAGGTACTCCATAAGTGATGCCAGGGTTCTTGTTTGCAGAGTCGAAGAATGAACTTAGCAAACACTCAAGGTATGAGAGCCAGGGAGAGGCTTTTATTTAGAGATACAGTGAGAATACAGAGCTCCTGGCTCACGCCAGGAGGGGACAGGAGAGCCTGTGGTGGTGCATTGTCCAGGGGATTTATAGTCGGTTGAGGATTTTCAGGAATGTGGGTAAAGTGCTAGGATTGCAGACTTGTACCACCTGCCCTGCCCCCAAGGTGGGCTGGGTTGTGTTTGCTAGGGTTGTTTGCCATGAGGTCATGGGTTATGCTGAGATACCCTTATTTATTTGCAGAACACTCAAACATTCCAGGTCAAGTTGCTCCTGGTTTTTTGAGCTTTAACTGATCTCAGTGAAGATGTCTATATTCCTAGTCTGGTATCTTTTCCCTAGAGAATTAGTGTCACCTTGACTTTGCATAATGCTTAACACAGTCTCGATAGGGACTTCTTTGCACATTGTTACATTGCTCAGACTGTAAATATCCTGCCTTGCATCTTCCGGAGGCCCTCACCCTACTCTGACTTCACCCAAGGTCCCTGTCTCATTAGTATTTATATAAATAATTCATTTTCATGTACTTAGCATTTTCCTTCTTTAAGTTGGGCAACCAGGCCAAAGGATAAATTTTTTTCTTCTTCTTGGTACCTTTTGCCATATAACGTACTTTTTTGTTTGCTTTCTTGCTTATTTTTTTGTACCGAGTACTAGTTTTCATGTTGTTTAAAATGTAAACAGTGTAAAGGGTGTTGAAAATACTCCTCCCACTTCCTTATTCAAGCACCTCATTCCTCTCCTCAAAAGCAACTCACTTTGTCAGTGTCTTGACATTCCTTGCAGCGATATTCCCATGTGACTTCCTGAAGAGTTGATACCAAGTTACACTATAGGACAGAGTATTTTACGATCACGTCTGCCTAGAACAGTTCCTGTTTCCCTTTCTATCTACTGCTCAACCCTCCTCAGTAGCCGGTGTCAGCTGTATTTTAGTGAATGTTACTATCGCGCTAGCTGCTGAGGGAGTGAGATAAGGTAACACCGTTTTGCCCATGCTTCTGAAGTTCAAAATCTAGTGAGATGGGAAAATATCCACCCTTATAAAGAAACACGGGGTTTAAAAAGATCAAAATGATACTTATGTCACAAAACATTGAGTAATTAATTATTGAATGATGTATAGATAACAAATACCATGAAAATTAGTTCATCAAATCAGAGGGTGAGTACCTCTGTTAGGGAAAGCTAAGGAAGGAAGATAACATTGGCTTTAGATAGTCTAAGAAGAGCGTAGAAGGCAAAGAGTACTTTGTGGGCACTAGCAAACAGCATGTACAGTAGAGCCTATGTTACCTCTTGCAGAGAAAAGTCTATGTACACTTAAAACAAAATCAGTGAGGGTGTTTGAATAAAGGAGTATGAATTCATTGAAGATTCAGAGGGAGATCATAGGGATTTGGGGGAAATCAAGAAAAAGTTTTATAGAGAATTATGTTCAAGATGGAACTTGAAAGATAAATAGGATTTTTAATAGATACAAAAGGGTAACATGGCAGAAGACTCTAGTACAGGGGTTGGTGAACAATGGTGCTCAGGCAGACCACCCACTTTTTGACTACAGTGTTCCTGGAGCGCAGCCGCGCCCCTCCGTCATGTATGGTCTGTGGCTGCTTTCACGCTTTAGTGGAAGAGTTGCACAGCTGAGACCAGGCGGTCTTCAAAGGCTAAAATATTTACTGTCTGGCCCTTCACAGAATGACTTGCAAGTAGATAGGATGTATGTGGGAAGGCATTATTGATAACTATTGGTAACTTATTAAAGAAATGAAAATGAGATATTTACTGTAGTTGGAAGAAGTCACTATAGAAGTGTGGGTGGTTGAAGGGGAGGTTTTGAAGCCTTGAAGGACTATAATAGGAAACCATTGTTAATAGAGGAAGTGAGAGGCCATTCCAGGCTGGGCAACGGTTCAGTAAGGCACAAATATGGCTTGTTCCTAATTGTGCTTTTTTAATCTTTCTCCCCTAGCTAAGAAAGATGAGGAAGATGGAGAAGAAAAGAAATCTGTGCAAAAGAAAAAAGAGTTAAAGGTGTTGAATGCAAAGATGGCCCAGCGTCTCTGTGAGTAACTGCGTCATCCCAGCTAGTTGAAAAGTGAGGTGGTTCTTCTGAGAGCTTCTTCTGGTGGACCCCAGGTCCTTTGCCATGAGACTGCTATTTGTTGAGTTCCTGTTATATGCCAGGCATTGCACAGTGAATTTCTGATACCTTGCTCAATCCCCTCAGCAGTAGTGTGAGATTGTTAGTATGTATTTTTGTGGCAAGGAAATAGAAGCTAAGACTTGTAGAAATCTGGCTAGTCACAGAGCTAGTAAGAGACAGGTCTGGGATTTGAACCATGGATTTTCTTGTTTCAAAGCCCTTACTGTTTCCATTGCACCCACAGATCTGTCACAAATGTTGTAACCACTGTACATTCCCTTCTTTCTCACTTTAAGTATTTCCATTAAATGCAAGCACTGGCTTGACTTCAGTTAAACCTAAAATAACTTTGTGGTTTAGAATAAATAATGTAGTCCTGTACTTCTCAAAGAAGAATCAGTAACTCTAGAGTTCTGTTCTAAACTTGCCATACTCATAACTCTGATTGGTGGCAAAATTTCAGATCAAAAACTGTCTGCAAAGGTGACATATGTAGTACTTATTTGATGATCAGGATGAATGTCCATTTTTTGTTCATTTCAACTGTGATCTCCCTACTATATGCGGAGTAATATAGGTGTAAATACTTGATCAACAGGTATTTGAGGGTCTGCTGTGTTTCAGTCTCTGTCAAGTACATAGTGGCACGTGTGCCAGGGATGAAAGGGTATATATTCCATAAAACCCATTCACAATCTTGAGGTGGGGCTGTTGTCCCCATTTTTCCAAATGAGAAAACTGGAGGTTAGATGGGACTTGGTGACGGTCACTAAGTAATGAGCATATACAGCTGGGGGTAAATCAGTGAGAACAATAAGCCGTTACATTATCTGCAGCTTTATTAATCTTAGCTCAGTGACAGCAAATATTACTAAATAGTATCTGTGGGTAAGTCCCTCTATGGAGACTAAAGTAATGTGAGGTAGTTCCTCTTCTCAAGATTATCTCTGGAATATAAAGTATGAGTGTTACAAAATGACCACAAGACGGGGGGTTAGTACATTGTTATTTCCAGTTGAGTGGTATTGACATGGAAAATGGAAGGCAGATAAAGAATTGAGGTTAGGAGATATAATTTAGTGATTCAACAATTAAGTGCCTCTTACATGCTACAGACAGAAAGCTGTGTAAGACTAGTCTCTGTGCTCATGAACCACGACTGGTGGAGACAGAAAAGTCAATAATGATAACAGCATGGATTGGTAAGTGTTGTGATGGAGGTGTGCTTGGAAGCTTATGAGAGCCTGGGGAAGGGGCTTCTCAATTTGTGGGGATGGTATTGGAGCGAGCACCTCCTAGGTGTCCTTCTAAAGGAGGTATTGCTCACACTGAGTTGAAAGATCTAAACAGCGAATTAAGTGAAGGGTGAGGGATGGTTTGTTTCAGGCAGAGGGATCAGCATATGTGAGGGTGCAGAGGCATGAGACAACACTGTGCAGGGTGAGAACAACCAGTAGCTGAGTCCAGCTGAGTAACAGCCTCATGCAGGGCAGTGGTGAAGGAGAAGCTTCCAAGACACAGATGGAGGCCCGATCATAATTCTGGTGGCTTAAGCTAAGAGGTACATGTTTTATCCTGAAATCTATCAGAGTTACTGAGGGAATTTTCATCAGGAAAGAGTGATACGACCCTATGTAATTTTTTGGAAGGCTGCTTCAGCAGTGATTGTGAGGCTGGCTGCTAGGGCAGTGGAGGACTGTAGGCAGAGAGATGAGTGTGGTACTGCTTTACATGAGGAGGGAGGGAGGCGGGCAGGGCCTGACGCTGAAGCAGTGAGAAGGAATAGGGGGGCAGAAGGCATAAAGAAGATAGAACTAAGGAACCTCAGTGATAGGCTGAGGAAGTAAAGGAGGGGTTTTCTTGGGTTTAGATCACCGTAGAGTGGTGCCATCTACTGAAATAGGAAAATTCAGCAGGAGCAGACTGAGCGGTGGTAGGATGATGGGTAGAAATGACTGACTTTAGGATAGAATTTAGGATACCTGTGGGATTCCTCCTCCAAAAGGCCGGGTGTATTAGACCTTTGGGTGTAGAAATCAGGGGGAAGGTCGGGCTGGAGACAGGAATTTAGGAGACAGCATGTGAGTCATAGATGAAGCTGTAAGTTCACTTGCAACTCAACTAATATTTTAGAGGCAAGAAAAAAAGGTGGTGGCAGCTGGGGGGAGACGTCAAAGGAGGTTAGAAAGGAGCAGCAGGAAGCACGATGTCGGCCCAAGAAGTAGGAGGAGGCAGCAGTGTCCAGCGCGGACAGGAGCCCGGTAAAACCAGACAGGCGTCCTTTGGGTCCTGCGTTAGGAAAGCCCGTCGCCTAAGCGAGGATGATTTCAGTTGAGCATAGAAGTGAAGAACAGAGGCTCTGGAACCCATTTTTATTTAAATCCTGCTTCTAACTCTTAACTAGCACCGTGACCTTGGACGGGTAGCTTACCTTCCTCAAGTATGAGTTTCCTTTTCTGACGCATGGGGCTAATAATACAAACTCACGGGGAGACTGTGAAGAGAGGGAAATCAGGTCATGCCTTAGGTTGTGTTCGAGGTGCTGCGTCGCACACGAAGTGCACACTCAGCAAGGACTTGCCGTCTTCTCATTGACTGTGGGGACAGGGAGCTGTGGCAGTGGGAGAGAATGGGCTATTGTATTTTTAGCACATTATAAAGTGAAAGAAGGAAGGAAGTTGGTAATTGAGGAACACTGAGTCGGGGTTTTTTTTCAAGATAGGAGAAACTTGATGGTGTATATATGCTGAAGGAGAAGGTTCTTAGGGCTCCCTGTTCCACTGGAATGTGAGGAAAGGAGGAGGGCGTGGGGATAGTTGCTGCTAAGCTTATAGAGGTTTTGGCACAAGTTTGCTTCTAGATGATTCCAAAATAGTCCTTACCCAAGTCATTTCTAGTCTGGCCCCTAATGGTCAGTTTGTAAGTGGCATAAGAGAAAGCTTAGCAAGTAATTGAATAATGCCTTCAGTTTTTCTCGGCAAAGAGGAGCAAAATCTTACAACAAATGGGGAAGTGGTGGGACAGCTGACAGAATGGGGGTATTTTGGAGGAGCTTCCAAGACGGCCAGAAGAGCGTGGACTAGGGACACAGACAAGGACTGCTCGGAGCACGAAGCCCCAGCTGTCAGTGGTGCCAGGACAGGCCCACGGATCCTGAGCTGCGGAGTTTGGACCAGCTGTGTTCATCAGCCCAGGGGTACAACTCGAGGACTGAGATGGCTAGATTAACCCAGGACTAGGAGGAGAAGGAAGCAGCATGGGAACAGTATCGCTAGAAATGGAGTAACAATAGAGGGACCAATGTGACGGGCTCTTGGGCTGAGGTTAGACAGAGAAGGCAGAGGGAAACCGAGACGTTCAGAGAAAGTGGAATGATGAGCAGTCTTGCCAGAGAGCACGTTCTGCTGAGGTTCAGGAGTCTCTGTAGAGATTAGTGAGTGAGTTTAAGAATCAGAGCACTTCAAGGCAGTGACATCTCTGAGGAGGGGGTCACGGGAGTGAAGAACTGAAATAGAGCGGGGTGAGTGTCTCTGGTGTGTATAGATGGAGATGATGAAAAGCTTCCTGCGTGAGCAAAAGCAAGGAGCGGTGTCTGTAGAACGGGGTGCTTGGAGCAGTGTAGCTGGTGTGTGACACAGTCCTGGGGCTCAATGAGAGGGACAGCTGCGAGGTGGGAGCCTGAAACACGGACACGGGAGCTTGGATGTAGCTATGGAGGCAGTGAGGAGCTGGTGGAGGTTTCTGATCCGTTAGAAGAACACTTCCAGGAAAATTGTCAAGCAGAGGTTTGTATGATGGGCCGGAAGGGGGAAGAGACTGGGAGGAACGTGCCTTTATGTCTCATTTTCTGGCAGCGATCTTTCTGGGTTCCTGTCGCTTGCCCTACGAGGAGATTAAGAATGTCATCCTGGAGGTGAATGAGGCTGTTCTGACTGAGTCTATGGTCCAGGTAAGCAGCCAGGTCATGGCACTGGGGCTGGCTTTCCACCACTAAATGCTGGGCCTCAGGGCCTCTGCTCAGAGGAGGAGGATCTGGCACTGCCGACCTAACGAATGCTAGCTTAGGATAAGCTTCCATCTCTCTGGTGGTCACCTTATTTCTGGTACATCTTTCAAAAGTCCCGCCATCCCACGAGCTGCCTCTCCCCCGCACCCCCACTGCTCGCCCATGTCTCCTTCTAAGTGGACCTTGGGCAGAGGAAGGGCCTGACAGGAGGCTCAAGTTGTCAGCTCATCGTCCTCAAACTGAGACAGCCCCTCGTGCTTTCAGAACCTCATTAAGCTGATGCCGGAGCCAGAGCAGCTGAAAATGCTTTCTGAACTGAGAGACGAGTACGACGGCCTGACCGAGGCAGAGCAGTTCGGGGTGGTGGTGAGTGAGGCCGGGGCGGTGAGCTCTTCCCGACTCCCTGGCTTCCCTCCTCCCTGATGGCGGCCAGGGCACCTGCTCCGCTTTGAACCTGTCTTTCTCTGTCTCTCTCCTCCCTCCTCTGGAGCTCAGTTCCTCCCAGAGGAGGCCCCGGCCTGTCTTTTTCGTACTTCTCTCTCTCTGCTGGCTGTGATGGATCTCCGTGTCTCCCCCACCAGATGGGCACGGTGCCCTGCCTGCGGCCTCGCCTCAACGCCATCCTCTTCAAGCTGCAGCTCAGTGAGCAGGTGGAGAACATCAAGACAGAGGTTGTTTCTGTGACGGCTGCATGTGAGGAGCTGAGAATGAGTGAGAACTTCTCCAGCCTCCTGGAGCTGACCCTGCTCGTGGGGAATTACATGAACGCTGGCTCCAGGAATGCGGGTGCTTTTGGCTTCAATATTAGCTTCCTCAGTAAGGTGAGCTGGGGCCTAGCGCGGGAGGACCGCAGGGAAAGCTCCGGCCTCTGCCAGTCCGACGTGGCAAACCACTGTTAGCCGGAGTGATCCTGCGCACGTCAGGACCAATAAGTCCTCTTCTTCCCCCAAGCTTCGAGACACCAAGTCCACAGATCAGAAGATGACCCTGTTGCACTTCCTGGCTGGGTTGTGTGAGAATGACTACCCTGATGTCCTCAAGTTTCCAGATGAGCTCGCCCACGTGGAGAAAGCCAGCCGAGGTGAGGCAGGTTGGGGTGAGGCTAGAAGGTTGTTCCGAGCCCCAGAAATCTCTGCTTGCGGAGAGAAATGTGACACAGTCTAGATTTCAGATCATTTTCAGTTCAGACTATTTTAGGTGAGAGTGGGAGAGGGTCAGAGCTACAAGGGAGGAGTATCGGGCGGAAGAGAGGTCTCCGCATAGTGGAAGCACCTTTCCCTTCCCAGGGAAATGCCAAATACCAAAACACAACTAGAAGGGAGGCAGGTGTTTGTAGTCTGGGCCAACAGTTTTTCTCATTCAGAAAGCATAGACAGAATGAGCAAAAATCAGGCCTCACATCCTGGAACCAGGCAGAGTCAGAGCAGCCCTCCAGAGAGGCAGGAACAAGTTTTTGCCCAGCCTCGGTATTTCTGTGTATGTCTCGTTCCTCCCAAACCTTGTTCTCTAAAATAAATGAGACCAGGACCCCAGGGGATTTCATAGACTCTTGTTAACTTAAATGAAGCCTCTCTAGTACTGTACTGCTTGTGGAGGCTGGACGTTCAGTCATCAAGTACTTTATAGTTGCCCTGGGAAGATGAAAATGTCAATGTGTGAAACACATGGAGGAGAGAGCCTCAGAGAACAACAGTGATTAAGTACCCGCAGTGTGAGTCGCCTAAAGCTGTGCCCCGAAGGGTGGAAGCTGGGGGTCTTGAGACCAGGTTTAGTAAGCTCTTGCTGTCTGTTTTTATGTTTCCCTTAGTTTCTGCTGAAAACTTGCAAAAGAACCTATGTCAGATGAAAAAACAAATTTCCGATGTGGAGCATGATATTCAGAATTTTCCAACTGCTCTAGATGAGAAAGACCAGTTTGTTGAAAAAATGACTATATCCTTTCTTAAAAGGAGGGAATTGCTGCCTAGGGAGGGAAAGTAAACGTCCCATGGAGGACAGCAGGATAGTCCCGGTGATACAGTTTTCCCCCCTGTACAACATGCGTAGTTCTTGAAAGCATTCTCACTGTTGTGGCAGGGGAAGCACGTCAAACAGGTGAATTTAATCCCCACACCCCTGTGCCCCACTTTGACACCACACACACACACGTATTCCCCTCTCCCTCCTCACCCTGTAGGCAGCCACTGCCAGTGGACTTCTTTATGATTTATACCTTGCGAATGTATTTTAAGCAAAAATCGCACTGTATGCCTTTTGTGTACGTAGGTCTTAGCCCTGTTTCCATGGTGCTGTGTGCACAACAGCCTCTTTTTAGTTGCTGCCTCCTATTCTATGGCTGTACCAGAGTTTATGGTTTCCCATTCCCCCGTTTTGGATATTCACATTGTCCCTGGCTGTCAGCGTCCTAAAGAGTGCCGTGTGGAACACCCTGCGCACGCCAGTGCGCATCTTCTGAGTGTTCCACTGGGCTGGAGAAGCGGGTCTGCTCCTCAGTCTTGGTCCTTCACTCGTCAGCTGCACAGCTTTGTGAAGGATGCCCAGGAGCAGTATGACAAGCTGCGGATGACGCACTCTCACATGGAGACCCTCTATAAGGAGCTGGGCCAGTACTTCCTCTTCGACCCTAAGAAGGTGTCTGTGGAGGAATTCTTCATGGATCTGCACAACTTCACGAATATGTTTGTGGTGAGCAAGGGACACCTGCTGGCTGGACCTTCTGCGGACCTTCTCACTTTGTACTGGATCCATGATAGTGGTTGACATGCACATGTGTGAGTGCATACGTGCCCACGTGTTCTTTTTTTTTCTCTCCATAGCAAGCAGTCAAGGAGAACCAGAAGCGGCGGGAGATAGAGGAAAAAACGCAACGAGCAAAACTAGCCAAGGAGAAGGCCGAGAAGGAGCGGCTGGAGAAACAGCGGAAGAGAGAGCAGCTCAAAGACAAGAATGCAGGTGAGAAGCGAAGGAGAAAGGCTGATGGGCTGTGTCAGGAGCATTTGGAAGGCTTCTCATCAGGAACCTCAGGGCCAGAGAGAACAGCTCATGTCTGAGCTCATCGCCTGGCAAACGGTTGTTGGGTTGACAGCCTTCTACCTCCAAGAGCCCGATGCTGGGCTTTAACCCCAGCTCAGTTACCGGGCATTCCACTTCTCCAGGCTCAAGTCTGTTTCTCTCCTCTGCTGCTTCCTGCTTATGTCTCATCTCCCCAGTGATTTCACTACTGCTGTAAAACATACTCTTTTCTTCTGCCTGTCCAAGAGTTCCTCTGGCCTGTTTTCCTACCCTCTATGAAATCTTTTGTCCTTTTCCCCAAGATGTTTTCCTGGCCCTGCCCCCAGGTTTTAATGGTGGCTCGCTCTTACTTTCTGCTTATTGCCCTTGGCAGTTGCACACACCTATCAGATTGCAGAGAAACTGACCTTCTGGAAAGGGCGGGCGAGCTGGCCACCCTCTTTCTTTCGGAGAATCTCTATTTCACTACCAGAAGCAGGTCTTTGTGGAAACATATGGCCTCAATTACTGGCCCTGTTTCCTGTCCCGGCTTCTTTCCTGCTGCCAGTGCCCCTGCCCGCCTCAGGCTGCTCCCTCAGTGGGCTGCGGAAATGGAGCATACACTCTGCTGCCACCGGCTACCCTTGAACCTGAAGGGCTGGCTATGAGCCATCCAAGTGAAGGTTCTCAGGGTGCCGAGCCTGCTGTGAATGAGGGCGACTTGCTGAGCACCAGAGGCAGGGTGAACATCTTCTGCTCCCAGGGATTTTTCCTCGGCAGCTTCTGTCATGGTGGGAGCAGAGATCTGAAGTAGCAGAAGAGCCTACACTTCTATCTTTTCTTCATACTTTTTGGGGAAGCATTCCCCTACCCTTACCCCTGCTATATATAATACAACCAACTATCTTCCACCTTTCCCCCCTTTTCCCAAGCCTCTAAGGCTTGTCTCCGGGTACCATCTAGGACACAGTGAGCAAAGCTGGAGTCTAGTGGACATGGGGGATGAGAGCTGCACCCAGTCATCAGGTGGCGCACCCGACCTAGCCCTGGCTGGGTCCCCAGAGCAAGCAAATGGGGTCAGAATGTGGGTCAGCTGTGCTGGTGACTTTCAGCCAGCAGGTGGCGCTGGGAGCCGTGAGCCTGGCCGCCCAGTTGGCCACCCCAGGGATCTTGGGAATTCACAGTTTCATATTTCACCACCTTGAGCTGTTGCCATGGAAACAGAGCCTGGCTGGAACCAGGATTATACATTAACTCTTTGTATTCCAGCCAGGATGCTCCTCTTAGATGACCAGCTGGCTTCAGGAAAATGCAGCCACTGGGGGCAGTACTTAAACAAAATGCCGTTTTGATCAGTGGACTCATCTTTCCCCAGTCTTCCTCTGAAACTGGAACGGGGCTCTCCTTGAGAGGTTTATGTAAACTGAAGCGAAACCCTTAAAGATAAAGGGGGACTGGTATAGTTCTTTATTAATTTCATAAACCCATTCTCCGCACTTATTCTGTTCTTAGAGTTGGGTAATTCTGCAATTCTCTGGGCTAGTCCTGATTAGGGTGGAAAGGAGGGCCCTACAGGAAAGTATCCTAAGGTGTGTAATGGTTAATGGCAATGAAACCTTTTGTTCTAATCGTTTTTAAACAGACACAAGTAAAATGGGCTGCAAGGCTTAAGGCTGAGCCCTCTGCTCTGAAAACCCAGCCACTGTGGGAAAGGGGAAGCCAATCAGTAGCTGTGCATTTTGTGTGCGGCTCATCACATGCATGCTGCTCACACTGAAGAGCTTACATCTCCATCTTTGTTCATGACAGAGGGTGATGAGACACGTGGGACAGACAGCCTTCTAGAAGTACTGCAGTCAGGCACCGCATTCCGACGGAAGAGAGGATCCCGTCGGGGTAAGCAAGCAAATGGAGCCCAGCCTGGTGTTGAAGCAAGTGATGCCTCTGCACTCCTGACCTGCTTCTCTTGAGCTGAAGAGCAAATAACTATATTCGGAGGGTTTAGAAACTTCCCTGCAGTGGCCTCGTCATCTTGAGTAGATTGTCTGGCCCTCTTCCTCCTGTGTTAGAAAGTACTGACTGTGGATCTAGGTCTTGAGGGCCTGACAACAGATCAGTTAAATTTGATCATTCCTGCATCTCTCCCCACTGATAAAGCAGAAATCTGGAATGAGTGAACCATGGCGCAGGACATAGACATTTGGATGGGTGTTTGAATGTATGAACAAAAATTGATACAAAACTGTGTATTAGATGTAGGAAATACAAAGAAAAATTAAGCCAAGAGTTCTTACTCTCAACTTCACAAGGAGAAGAGAGAGAAAAACAAAGTATAAAATCCTGTAGAGAAAAGGTTAGGCATCATCATGCCAGATGTAAGAATAGAGAAAAACATCTCAATGGGAGAACTGTGCTGTGTCTGAGAACACCTTCTCCTTGGGTGCACCTCCACTGTCCTTGCCCTCCCCACTTACTCCCCGCCACCTCCTCTCCCAGCCTTCAGAAGATATAAATGGACCACACTGAGCCAAAACCTCTAAGAAGAAGTATAGAGATAGGAGGACAAATGATCCAGCCATTAGCATGGGGAGGGCTCAGTGGATAAGGTACCTGAGGGAAGTGTGCGGTGGCCAAGAGACTAGTCCAGAGCAAGGCAGAGCCCAGGCTGCCCTCGTGTGGGGTTCACCTGTGTCATGGTGTCTGGTGAGGGCCCTTTGGAGCTGGGGGTGATGGCTTCTTTCCTAGGCTGAAGGGTGGGTACTACAGAAAAGGAATCACTAAGGGTTTCTGCTTCTGGGGGAGTTAGAGCTGTGTTCTCTATCCCCGACTGGTATACTCTGTCAGCCTGTTTGACAGGAGCTTCACGTTAAGATCATAAAAAGAGGGAGTAGCGTGGCTTGCTTTGGCCCATGCTTAGCTATTAACAGAGTGTCATGGTGTCTCTGGGGCTTACAGACTTCCAGTCACAGCCAGGAAAGGAGGACTCCAGATCAAGGGTATGGAGCAAGCTAGCCTGCACTCCACTGATCCTGGCCCAGATTCTGCTGCCCATTTCTATGCATGCTCCGAGGGAAGATTCCCTCCTGAGACTCTGTGTGACTTTAGATCCTTCCCTGAACAGGAGAATCCCTAGTTTCAGGTCTTACCCATATGCTAAGTACCGGCTCTCCAGAGGGGAGGAGAGGTAGTAATGGTAGTCTTAGGACTTCCTGGAATACAGCCTTGAGCCTTATGGATTGGGGTTTGGATAGACAGTGCCACTAGTAGTATTTTTGTGTTTAGTTGTTAAAAGTTCTTGCAACATTCTTTCCTTACCACCAAAGAAGGTGATGTGGCCTTACATCAAGTATTTCTAGCCAATGAAAGTACATTGCATCTCACTGTCTTCCTCTCTCAGCTAAGTGCTGACCTGCATCAGACTTTTGGAGGGGAATTCCTTTCAGCGTCTTCCTCCTAGAATCCCAGGTGCTTCCTGTGCACAGGCAGCAGACATGAGCGGCTTTCCTCTGCAGCGGAGGCCCCGTGCTCCACTCCTTCCCAGTGGGAAACCAGGACTCACAGGCAGAGGAAGCAGGGGATTTTGTTGGAATGGAACCTTTCAGCAGAGGCCGACTGGATTAGTCAAAGTGCATTTCCCAGTGCAGGAAGGAATAGGAGACTTACACTAGGAGGTATTGAAGCAAAAAGAAGGTGAAAACGAGAACTACATTCTTGGCTCCATCCTGCAACCCTACCTTGCTGGGCTCCAGGTCCACTAAACACAGCTGAGCATTTCTGGGAGAATCTGTCAAGAAACTAGTTACTCTGGCATGCGCCTAGTGCATCCGCAACCTAGACAGGGATGTGGCCTCATATCAAATGTAAACTGAAGGGTAAGCGTCAGAGGAGAGTGCAGAGACCTAGGATGAGATGAAAAGACCCAAAGTCAAGTCTAACTCTAGTGCTGTCTAGGTTACCTTAGACAAGTTTTTGGGACTCAGTTTCTTCATGTAAAAATGAGTTGGAATAGAATGGTCTACTGGGTCTTTTCCAGCTTAATACTCTTTCTGTCCAGTGACAGTTGGACTGAGAGGAGAAAAAAAGGAGGAGGCCGAGCCACAAGGCCCCGATCTCAAGAGAGAAAGGCTCATCTATGGGCCCCTCAGTGGCCGCTGGACTTGGCTGGTCCCCTGCCTCTTGCGTGGCTGCCTCTGTGTTCCTCCGGGCTGATTGCTTTGAGCCAAAGAACCGAAGCGCCGTCCGGCCAGTCTGCCCCACAGCCCTCTCCTCAGTTCCAGAGAGGCAGCTGTCCCTATTCAGAGCCACTAGCCTTTTCTCTAGGATTTCAAGGAATGTTAGAAAGAAATGAAAAAAAAAATCTTGCAGTCTCTGGAGACCTGAGGGAGTGACTAGCACACAAAGACCCATTGAGGAGGCGGAAGAGGAGGGTTACTGTCCCCGTGGGTTCACTGAAAGTGACATGTAAGCCACTGTGAACTGCAGGGTGGGGGAGCAGTGCTGTGAGTGTCGGGGGAAGAATCCCCGTGACTGTGTTACAGCTGCGATGTCAGGCTGGTGATGGAGTCAGCTCGTGGTTCCAATGACTCAACTCTATCCCCATGTCTGAACTGTGGCCTCTTACATACAGGCCATCTGCTCCCTGGGGTGAAAGTCAAGAGAAGGAAGAATTCTTCTGTCCCTTTCCTTCCTTCTGCCACCCCCCAGCTGTAAGCACCACCACACTAACGGCCCTTCCGAGTGGGAAGGACTAAAGGCCTCTGGCAATCAGCACCTAACCTCCCCCTAGGTCGGAGAGCTCTTGCCCAGGCCCGCAGAGCTGGCTAGTGACAGAGGCAAAACTGTAGCCCATTTTTGTGAACCCAAGTCCAGGCCATTTCCACTGAGCCTATACCACCACTTACTCTCTCTCTACTTCTGTAAAAATAGGACAGGAATTATAATTAAGAGAGCTCTAGACAGAAATGAGTTCCCCAGGATGGTAATCCTCACCCCATCTGTCCTAGTTTCCTCTTTCCTGAGGAAGCTTAGTAACAGCAGCACTTCTTTAGTAGCAATTCTAGCCTGTGCTTATGAGTGTCTTTTTCCCAATCATTTACCTTTTTCCGATTCATCTGTATTGCTGTTATATGATTGATCTTGTTTTTATTCCAGCCCACCCCAAATTGGCCTCAGCAAGCTTTGACCAGTGTCCTAGGATTGCCCCATTCCTCGCAGTGTGGGGCTGTTCTCTGAGGACTTAGTAACCCTCCCTGACCCTGTATTGTCAAAAGCTCTGTCTGCCTACGGGCTGCTTTTCAGTAGTCTTAACAAGTACCCAAGTTAGGGAAAGGAGGGGAGAGGTCACTTTTTCTGGATTGTTCAGACTGTTCAGTATGAACTGTGGTCCTGAGGACGGGAAACTGGGACTCCTCTTTCCTGTTGATTCTCTTCCCAGTTCCAACAAGAGCTTTCTCATTTCGGATTCTGACCTTAAGCCACATCAAGTCCACCCCAAATGTACCTGCTTCCTAGGCTTGAAAGGGAACTTTGGTCTCCTCCCCACCTACCATCCTCTCTTCATTTTTATGAAATCTGTAACGCATCAGAAGCTTTTTGAATCTAGAAGCCCTGTTTGGTTAAGTACCACTGGTATCTTCTTAGTTGAGAAGAAAGTAAAGAGAGAAGCAGCGCAGGACAAACCGCCCTTGAACTCTGGCTTTTCCCATGTTGCCCAGGGCAGGTTTCCCTGAAGACCCAGTGTTCTTAGGGTCTGGAGTGAGGAATCATTCCAACACCTACACACCCCTGAGTCACACACACACACACGGTTGCAGTTGCAGTATTTTCTCACTGCTGGAGAGTGAATTCAGAGGAACACTGAAGTGGTACACACACACACACACACACACACACACACACACACACACACACACACACACACACACGGTTGCAGTTGCAGTATTTTCTCACTGCTGGAGACTGAATTCAGAGGAACACTGAAGTGGTATCCAGCCACTGCCTTCCCAGACCCAAGAAGAGGGATGGCATGTTTCAGAAAAGAGTGGGAGCTAAGTTGGTCTGAGGGAGATTTTGCTGGAGAGACTAAGGAAGATAGGAGCGGTGTGCACATGTGGGCCGTCCCAGTCACACCCCAGAGGGCTCCTTTTCCTCCCATCAGTCGCTGCGGCAGTATTACGTGTTCATAAGCCAGGGTGCAGTTTGGGAACCCCGTGGCATCTGCACCGCACACGCACCACCTGTAAGCAGGTGAGCGCTTGGGCCTGTCAGTCCATGTTCACTGTTCATTTTCCTCTTGTTGGACAATCCCTTGTGCCCCTGGGAGGAAGAGGAGGAGGTGATCTGTACATCGGTAACCTCTGGGCCTGCTGTGGGCTCCCTGCTGGCCTGGGTAGCCTCTGCGGTGTGAACACAAGGGCCCTAGGCCGCATGCCTATAGAGAGGCCAAAGCCCTGGCGCAGAGCTGGGCCCCCGGCCCTGTCGAAAGCTTTCTGCTGGCCCACGGAAGGCGGCGATGGGCGCCTCTGGACCTCCGCCTTCCTGCTGCTTCAGGGCTCAGCTTCCCAGACCCAGCAAGCTGCTGCTGCTGCTTTTAAACTAAAACATACATCACATGCCTAAAATTCACTTTTTTGAAGTAGGCAACTCAGTGTCTTTCATGTATCCATAAGGTTGCATCTGTCACTGTCTGATTCCACAACAGCCTCATCGCCTCAGAAAGAAAGCCTATACCGTGCGGGGTCACTCGCGTCCTCCCTCCCCCAGTGCCTGGCGATCACGAATGTGTTTTCTGTCTCTATGGCTGTGTGCATTCTAGACATTTCTTAGAAATGGAATTGTAGCATGCCTGGCCTTTGTGTCTGGCCCCTTCCACCTCAGGCAGGCAGCTCTCTGTTATGTCCAGGGTCCCTGTGCTGCCTCCAGGGCACGGGAGGAGGCAGGCAGCGTGAGGTGGGCATGGGCCCAAGGGACTGACTGCCTTCTTGTTGAGGATACAGAAGCCATATATCTGGATTCCGTCAATGAACACCGGAGTCTTGGGGATGCCTCCCAGCAGTTAGAACAGAAACCTGTGGATTGACTGGTTCTTCTCTTCCCCTTTAAGATGACAGCTGGAGTTTCACAATCCCTTAGCCTATGAGGCTGAGATTTCTCTGTAGGAGTCCCTACTGGCCATCTTTCCCCCTAGCTCTGCCTTCCCTGCCATACATTTCATTACCCACCCCAACACACCTGGCAGGGCCCTGGCATTTGTATCACAGCTGCTACCCTCAAAGAGGCGGGAAGGAGCTCCACGTGTGGGCCTGGGGAGAGGGAGGGAGGCTGCCTCCCTAAGCTGCACTCCACATGGTCTTGGACCTCTGTCCCTTCTTCTAAAGAAGGGCCTCTGTGAACCACACAGGACAGCCGCATCTGCACGGCTTCTGGCTGCCACCGGTTCAGAGGAATCAGAAACTGGGCCTTCCATGGTTAACGTCTCTCATGTTTTCTGTTGCAGCAAACAGGAAGGTTAGGTGTGCAGTCCCATTGGTCCCAGCGTCCGAGCTGACCAAAGATGATGCCATGACTGCAGTTCCTGCCAAGGTGGCCAAGAACAGAGAGGGAGTCCCCACAGTCCTTGAGGAAACCAAGGAGTCGACTGGCCGTGCGAGCTAAGCTGGGGCCTGTGGCCACAGCAGCTCCTCGGTGGAACTGGCCTGCTGCTGTCTATACATCACACACAGCTTCAGCCGCCTGGAGGACAGAAGGAAAGGACAGTGTGGGGGAGGCCTGAGCCCAACCCAGTCAGCCCACTGTTGTATTTACTAAAGCAGGCTCCGTGTTTGCTGCCTTCACCCTAAATGTCTCCTCGCTGTCACTCTGAGGCCTCGTCCCCGACAAGGCCCTGCCTGCATCCTCACCCCGGCCTTTCCAGGGGGCTTTCACTCTCACCTTGTAGGCCTTGCTGGGTTTGTGCTTTTCTTTTGTGGTTTCTCTGGCCCTGAGAACAGCATGGGGCATGTGAACCTTGGGGCTGTATTTCTCCTCCCACTGCTGCCACCCCCACTCCACTCTCCCCTCTCCTGCCCGTTGTTATTTATTACTAGTGATGTGACATTGGGAGCTACTTCTTAGGAAGTGGGGAGCAAACCTCATCCTTTCCCCACCTTCCTGGGAAAGGCTTCCCAAAACAAAAAGGACCTGGACTATGTTATCTATTCTACAGCGGCCTGGGCCCGAGCCCTTGGGCAGGCACGCAGGGCAGAGACATGGTGGGGCCCACCCCAGCCTGCTGCCATGCTTTGTGCCCCTGCCTTTCTGGACCCTCTGCACCAGCCCCAGCCTGCTGAGCCACGGGTCAGCCCTCACCGCCTCCCGGGAGCTTTGGTGCATCTCATCTGGAATATGGGCTGTGCGTGACCTCCCAGACCTCACCCTCTGCGTCCAAGGAAATGGGAGGTGGAGCCTCCTGGCTGAGAAATTGTATTGCAAATCGATCTATTTTTGTATGAATCTTTTCTTTTTTAAAGGCAAATAACTCCTCCTTTCCCCTTCCTCCTCCATAACAGTAAGAGGCTTTGATGGCAGGTTTGAGAGAGTCCCTGGGTTTTCTCCCCACAGGCCTCAATCCTGAACAAGTCCCCTGGACCTAAACCTCAGCTCTCAAGCCTTTCGGGCCCTTGCAGCCGATGCAGATTCTCTTTCCCAGCATCCAGTTTTGGGGCAGAAGGAAGCTCTTCTCCGGTTAAGCTGGACCAAGCCCTTGAATAGTGGGAACTCTGACACCACAGTGTTTTTATAAATTTAATATATTTATCAAGCCAAATGTACAGATGCGAACTGGAAGTTCTGAGCACACATGCACCCCTGCTTCCATCTCAGCAGTGGGCAGGCCACACTGTTCCGTGGCCCCAGCCCCAGGAAGCTCAGATTCTCTGACTCAAGGTGATACTTTGCCCTCTTTGTTGTTCTCTCAGACTTCCACCCCAGGTAGGGAGAGAATGGCACTGTTAGGGCCTGGCCCAGAATTGTATTTATTGGAGCAAGCGGGAGCTTAGGAGACCTAAGGGTGCCTGCCCAGAGGCCTTGAGGCCAGGAGGCAGGTTCTGCTTGTCTGAGAGATGCATGCGTGTGAAGGGGCAACAGCAGCTCCTTTGAGCTATTCCCAGGAAGACTGTGGTACAGGGGGCCTGCTGCTCCTCTGGGTCCCCTCCTAATCCCTTCTGACACTGGGGGTTTGACTCTTTCTTTTTTAAATCTACTTTTGCCAAGACGCATTTAATAAAAAAAAGGGGGGACAAAATGCAAAAGTCCCTCGCCTCTTGGGCTTCTGGGATGTCATCACCTCCGGTTCATTGGATTTGTTTCCAACTGTTAATAAAGCATTGACTTCAGCAGCACCGCCATACAGCCTCCTTTGTGTATTTCTGTTCTTTCCACTCTTGTCCTGCTTCAAATCCCTGGTTGACCTGACAATCTGTTGTCAAAAAGTTTAAGGTGACCGTCATGTGCCAGACAACTGCTTGGGTGCAGGGCTAGAGATGATTAATGCGTGCTGGCTTCTGCCCCACATTTGCCCCCCCCATAAAGGACTAGCCCAGCCCTTCCACATGGCTGCCTCTTGGCTTGGACTCCTTCTCTGGAGCTCAGTTCTACCCCCACCTCCCCTGACCCCAGATGAACTCAGAGTTTCCCTGCAGTGCCTCTTGCTGAGGGAAACCCTGGCTTCCTGTTCTTCCATCCCCCCACCCCCCTTGGGTGGCCTCAGAGCTCATTCCAGACTAGAGGAGCATACACTGGGGTGGACACCTGGGTCTCATCCACAGATCCACATGACTTCCTGCTCGGAGCCATTCTAATTGGAGTGAGTAGTGACCTGCACAGAGAAACCTTACAAGCTAGTGCAGGCCCAGAATAGACAGGGAGGGGCCTGGAGAGGACCACATTGGGCAAGCCCTGGAACTGGAAATAAAAGGCTTTTACACAGCCCTGGAGCCTGGGCAGCTGCTTCCCCAGCAGGGCTGGGGATTCCAGGGTGGGCTGCCTTCCTCCTCCTCCTCACCCCTCAGAGGCCACACGTTTCTGGCTCAGAGCTTTCTAGGCGCATATACACATTAGGGAACCCACCACAGCTGCTCACGCACTCTGCCAGGCTAGTTGCCTTGCCTGGAATAGAACCCAGGCGCCCGGCACCAGCCCTCTGCAGCCTGGCTCTCAGAAACAAAACCCTGCTTCCATCTCAGCAACCACGCACCGTCCCTCCCACGCAGAAGTCGCTCCAGATGCTTCGTTGGAAGCTTGGTTTCCATGACAACAGACCAGGAGCTGGCAGAACACAGTGGCCGGCTCTGTGAGAGGAAGCCCTGAGACAGCCTCCTTCCTCCCTGAGGTTGGGCACAGCCTCGCTGGCCCTTCTGATAACCCAATGGCTGTGTCGGTGTTTCTGGCCTTCCGCCGCTCCAGTCTCCCACCCACCTACCCCGTGTTTCCCGCCGCGTCTCTGGCTGCAGCAGCCTCAGAATCCCGCTGCGCTTGGGGGAGGCAGGCGGGGGAGGCGGGGAGACGCGCTGGCCGAGTGATGAATGGACAAGCAAGGCAGCGGGAGCGAGGAAGGAGCGGGCAGCCTCGTTGCCTGCGTGCCCTCTCGTTCCCCTGGATGCCGGTCTCCCACCCCCGGCAAGAGGGCTACCAGTCCTCTAACCTCCTCGGCTCTGCGGCAGGGAGGCGAGGGGGAAGGCGAACTCCAGACGCGAAAGCTGGACCCCAAACGGTAGACTCGGTCTTGGCAGAACCGCCTCGGGCATTCCCTCCCACTCCTGCGGTGTTTCCAAACCCCACAGGCAGCGGCAGTGGAGGGGGGCCGGCCAAGGGGAGTCCCCCTCCCCCCCTCCCCTGAGGCCCGCAAGGGCCCCGGGAGGTGGTGATTTTAGCGGGGAACGGGCGGGAACTAAGAAAGCGTCCACGGGCCGCCCCCCTGCAGCTGTTCCCCGCAAGCCCAGGCGCGCCTTGCCCCGCCCCGAGATTCTCTTCTGCCTGGGGCGTCGCGCTCCGAAATCCCTCCCCTCCGCGGACCGCGAGCCGACCACCCACAGCGGAATCAGCTCCACAAGCACAGCCACCATTACATGTCGCGCACTATTACACATGCTGCAAGCACACCCAGCCACGTCCATGCACACACTCGGGCAATGACACAAAACCAGGACGGCGAGCACAGTAACCGCCCCCACCGCGCTCTTCTTCCCGCACATACACACCCGGCTCGCTTCATCCACACAGGCCAGGGGCGTTCAGCCTTTCAGAAGAAAACTTTTTATTATTTTTTCAAAGAAAAAAAGCCATATAAAAGTTAAGAGTATGAAACTTGCGTGAGACGCAGGAAGCGAGTGGGGTGGGGAGCTACGTGACTAAGCGAAGAGGAGCGCTTATCGGAGTCAGTACCGGGGAGGGGGGGTCGCCGCAGGGCGTGGACACAGCACTAAACACAGCACGAGCCGCCGCCGGCAGGTTCAAGGACAGGCGGCTGCACGGAGCCCGCCGCCCGCTGCCCACTCGCCGTCACGGAGAAGCACACCGCACTACACTACTGGCTACCACACCAGCCGAAAGGGGGGAGCTCTATGCTAGTGTGAGGCCTGGGGCGGGGTTCTCCCCAGCCCCGCGGGATGAATAGGGACCCCGGGGGAAGAAGGTCTATGCACAGGGAGGCACTGGGGCACTTTAACCAGGCTCTGGACACTAGGGGGCAGACTGGGGGCAGGGGCAGTGGCCTTCACACAGAAGTACTGGCACCTGGCAAGGGGGAGGACTGAGGCTCGGGGTGTGCAGGAGCCCTGTGGAGAAGCCCTGACCCCGTGCTGAGACTCTGTCCACCGGATCCCAGCTCTAGCAACTTGCCTCCCCAACCCAGGGCCCAAGGATGGCCTAGCTTGTCCTCCTTCCTCTGGGGTCACATTGATCTTTTCCTCCGTGGCACCTCTGGAGCACCCAGCACCCGCAGATGCCCTTCTGACCTCTCCAGGGCACCTGATCCCAAGCCTGCTCAGAGCTTCCTTGGACTGTAATGCCAGTGTAAACCCACTGGTGCTGGTAGTTCAGCCCCAGGCTGAGCCCTGTGGATGAGAGTGGATGAGGGTCCAGCAGGGTGCTTGGCTTATGGCTGGAATTTGAGGATCTGGTCAGTACCCTGGGGGGATACAGAGCCTTTCGCAAGACCCTGTTAAGTGAGATGTCAAGCTTTGTTCATCCCCCCCATCCACATACACATCCTTCCCTTCTTTATCTTACCACCCTGTACTGTCTTGGAACATGCCATTGGAGTCTCTTGTTTGGGCAGTGGAAGTCACAGCATGCAGTGGGAACACCAAACAATGAAAAGCAAAACAAAACAAAACAATCACTGGCCCCAATAAGCACTGGAGTTTGAGTTCTCCACTTAAGGGGCTATTGAAGAGGGTGCTTCACTGCTGTGAGTATGCACCCCATTTGGCCAGTGTAGGCATCTGTGTCATGCCACTCCATGGCCTTAGGGTCCACTCTCGAAAAAATCCCACAGGTGGTTATCTTAGTTGGAGCTGTTGCAGTGATGGGCTCCATAGTCAGCAAGGTGTGGTACTCAGCAGCCAGTTGCTTCTCTATCAAGGTGTAACAGACCTCTGCTCCTTTCCATAGTTGTGACTGGAATCCAAAATGTTGGCATGTCAATTCAAGCTGCTGCCAAAGGCCCCATCCATAAACATCTTAGGTTACATAAACATCTAGCTCAACAGGGCCTTGATGAGTCCTTTACACTCAAGGCCTGTACGGCGTTGACTGCTCACTTGGCAGCATTAAAAG